TCAGTGTCTTGATTTCTCTTTCTGTTGCTTTATTTTTGGTGTATAAAAATGCAACCTATTTCTGTACGTTGATTTTTGTACCCTGCAAGTTTGCTGAATTCTTCTGTCAGTTCTAGTAGGCTTCTGGTGGAGTCTGTCGGGTTTTCTATGTAGAGTATCATGTCGTCTGCAAAAAGTTAAAGTTTGAATGATTCTTTTAATGTACTGTTGTATTTAATTTGCTAGCATTTTGTTGAGGATTTTGGCATCCATGTTCATCAGGGATATTGGCCTATAGTTCTCTTTTAGTCAAGACTTTGGTTTTGGAATCAGCTAATGCTGGCCTCATAGAATGAGTCTGGAAGTTTTCCTTCTAGTTCTACTTTTTCGAATAGTTTAAGAAGAAGTATTAATTCTTTAAAGGTTTGGCAGATGTCCTCTGTAAAACCATCTGACCCTGGACTTTAGGTTGTTGAGGTAGTTTGATTACCGATTCAATTTCTTTGCTGGTTATCAGTCTGTCTCAGTTTTCTATTTGCTTCTGTTTCAGTTTTGGTAGTTTATATGTTTCGAGAAATTTATCCATTTCTTCCAGATTGCCCAATTTGTTGTCTTAACATTTTTCATAATATTATCTTATAATTGTATTTCTGTGATGTTGGTTGTGATTTCTCCTCTCTCATTTGTGATTTTATTCACTTTGGTCCTTTTATTTTCCTTTTTCATTCATCTGGCTGAGGAGTACCGATTTGTTTTTTTCCCCCAAAGAACAATCTTCTGGCTTCATTGATCTGATCTGTTGTGGTTTTTTTGTTTCTATATTATTTGCTTCTGCTCTAATCACTGTTATTTCCCTTCTTCTTCTGGCTTTATGTTTCATTTGTTTTTCTTTTTCTACCTCTTTTAGGTGTAAGATAGCATTATTAATTAACAAGATTTTTCTTGTTTCTTGGGGTTCTTGGGAGGCTCAGTTGGTTGAGCATCAGACCCAACTTCAGCTCCAGTCATGATCTCACAGTTCATGAGTTTGAGCCCCACATCAGGCTCTGCTGACAGCCTGGAGCCTGCTTCAGATTCTGTGTCTCCCTGTCTCTGCCTGCTCCCTGCCCCTCAAAGTAAGCAAACATTAAAAAAGATTTTTTTTTGTTTCTTGAAGTGGACCTGTATTCGTATATATTCTCTCTTATGACCACTTACATTGCTGCATCACAAAGATTTTAGACTGTCGTGTTTTCATTTTCATTTGTTTCCACGTATATTATTTGTTTCTTCTTTTATTTCTTGGTTGACCCATTCATTGTTTAGTAGCATATTCTTTTGCCTCCATGTGTTTGTGGTCTTTACAAATTTTTTCTTGTGATTGATTTTAGCTTTTGTAGTGTTGTGATCAGAAAATACCCGTGGTATGATATGAATCCTTTTTGTACTTGTTGAGGACTGATTTGTAACCTAATATGTAATCTGTTCTGGAGAATGTCCTATGTGCACTTGAGAGGAATATGTATTTTGCTGCTTTAGGTTAAAATGTTCTGAATACATCTGTTACGCTCATCTGGTCAAGGGTTTCATTCAAAGCCAGTTTTTCCTTGTTGATTTTATGCTTAGATGATCTGTCCATTGCTCTAAGTGGGGTGTTAATATCCCCTACTGTTATTTTATTAATATCCATGAGATTGTTTATGTTTGTTATTGTTTTATGTGTTTGGTTATACCAAGTTTGGGGCATAAATATTTATAATTTTTAGATCCTGTTGGATAGACACCTTTACTCGGATATAATGCCATTCTTCATCTCTTTTTACACTCTTTGGTTAAAAGTCTAGTTTGTCTAATACAATTATTGCTTTCTTTTTTAAAGATTTTAAATGTTTATTTGTAAGAGGGACAGAGCACGAGTAGGGGAGGGGCAGATAGAGAGGAAGCAAAGAATCCAAAGCAGGTTTCACATTCTGAGCTCTGAGCACTGAGCCCTACTTGGGGCTTAAACTCAAAAACTGAGAGGTCATGACCTGAGCTGAAGTCTGGCTGACTGAGCCACCCAGGTACTCCCCACCCCCCACTTTCTTTTAACATCCATTTGCGTGACAAATGTTTTTCCATTTTCCTCACTTCCAGTCTGCAGATTTTAGTTCTAAAATGATTCTCTCATAGGCAACATGTAGAGGGGGTGTGTTTTTTTTATCCCTTCTAATACGCTGTGTCTTTTGATTGAAGCCTTTAGTTCATTTTCATTCAGAGTAATTATTGATAGATTTGAATTCAGTAATAGATATGAATTATTGATACTAACTTTTTTTGTTGTTGTTTCTGGAGAGTTTTATAGCCCTTGTCACTTTGGGCGTTTCTTTCCCACTCAAGGAGTTCCCTTTAATATTTCTTCCAGGGCTTGTGTAGTGGTACATACTCCCTTAGTGTTTGTCTGGGAAACCCTTTATCTCTTCTTCTATTCTGAATGATAGCCTTGCTGGATAGGATATTCTTGGATGCAGACTTTTCTTCTTCAGCATGTTGAATATATCCTGCCACTCGCTTTTTGCTTGCAAAGTTTCTATGGAGAGATCTGCTGCTAACCTTATTTGTCTTCCCTTGTAAGTTAAGGACTTCTTTTTTCTTGCTGCTTTCAAGATTTTTTCCTTATATTTTGCAAGTTTAATTACAATATGTCTTGTGGTTTGCCTGCTTTTGTTGATTTTGATGTAGTTCTCTATGCCTCCTGGATTTGGAAGTCTGTTCTCCAGACTAGGGAAGTTTTCAGCTATAATTTCCTCAAATAAACCTTCTGCGTCCTTTTCTCTCTTCTTCTTCTAGGACTCCTTTGATGTGAATGTTATTACATTTCCAGGAGTCACCACGTTCCCTAAGTCTACTTTTGTGATACAAGAGTTTTCTTTTCCTCTTTTAATCAGCTTCCTTATTTTCCATAATTCTATCTTCTGTTATCACTTAATTTGTTCCACTGCTTCCATCCTTGTGGTCATTGCATCCAGTCAGTTTCAAATCTTGATTATTATATTTTTTGTTTAAGCCTGACTGGTTTTAAGCTCTTTTATCTCTGCCCTAATGAACTCTCTGGTGTCTTCTATGTTGTCTCCTGGCTCTTTGTCCCCAGAGAGGTCTCTCAGATGGCTCTAAGAAAGGGGAGCATCTCAGGAGATCCTCAGATCATGCCATTTTCCCCCAGGTTACCTGCCTCCCTACTGTACAGGAGCACTGCTGCATCCTCAGAGCTCTATACCAGCCACACCGAAGATCTATAAAACTCCAATCTTTGAGCTCCACTGGTTGATAAACCTCACCAAAGTCAGCCCCTTTCATTTTCCCAGTCAGTGGCTTTGAGGAAGTGTTTCCCTTGTGTTATCCCCTGTGCATTCCTCTCTCTCCACTCTCTCCACTCCACAGCACTTGTGATTCATTTCTCCCCCCAACCACATCTCCACACCTCCTACCTTCTACAGTGTGGCTGCCTCTCTCCCTCTGGTTGTGCAGTTGGTTTTGTCAATCCTCAGATCAGTTTCTTAGATATTCAGAATGATTTGATAGTTATCTAGCTGGGTTTGAGGGACAAGACCAGACCAGGGTCCTCCTACTACTCTACCATCTTAGCTCCTCCTTTTTTATATTATTTTTACTTTTGAACCATGGTAATGTTATTATATACTTAAAATATTGAAACTCAACAAGGATTGGGAAATATAGAAAGTGATTACAAACAGAAGTGAAACTAACTGCATAACAAATTTATAACATAAATACACAAAAGAAAAACAACCCAAATAACTATTGGACACATCACTCTGATTATTTACCCTCAGTGGAACATAAGACAAAAGGAACTCAAAATTTGAACCTAATACCTGTTATTGGTATTAGTATGGGAGTAGCCATTTTGAAGCTATTTTGTGTATATTTTAAGACTGAGCATGTGAGTAAATATATTGATATTGGAAAACAGTAGTCTTACTCAGGAGAAGAATACAAATATGGAATGGGAGGAGAAGAGGAGCATCCTTGTGATGTTATATTGGAGCAGATTTGTCAGCATGAATTCAAGATGATGATAAAATTCCTAACTGTTCTTTGAGAAAACCTAGAAGTTGGAGTGCCAGTGTGGTGCAGTTGGTTGAACGTCTGACTCTCGATGTTGGCTCAGGTCATGATCCCAAGGTCATGGGATTGAGCCCCACATCATGTTCCATGTGTATGTAATCCATGGGGAGTTTTGTGCCAATGAAGTGGTCCACATATACCAAGATTAAGAACTACGTTCTTCATAATCCTGAGGAATTTAAATAGCTGAGCAAAAAAGTTCTTTTTAAAACTGCCTAACTAGCAATAAAAGAGGAGCCTTAAATTAAACACTCAGATGTGGGAACAAATTTTAGTTATTTTGCTTAAGGGTATATTTGTAAAGGTCTTATAAACAGGAATACCAGTAGAAGTGACAAAATTCCTTTTGTCTCCCAGCATGTTTAACAGTAGCTGTCAAGAGACAAATTAATTGTAGATAAGAGTTTGGAATCTATACCAAATTTGTGCAGTGTTAGGCTTAATATCCATTGTTAACAAAAATAGCTACTGGAAGAAGTAAGCTTTTCTTGGAGAAATTTTTTTTTATTTTAAAGTACACATAAGGATTTCAGGGTATTGTTTTTAAGTCCCCGTAATAAATACCAGTGCTTTTGATTAAATATTTTCCACTTATAATTGCCTTTAAATTTTTTTCACCTTCCTTTTCTGCCCTTCAAAATGAAAAGTAGAACATTAGAATTTTATTCAAGTGAGGTGTTTTACAATATATGGGATTTCGTAGCTTTTTGTTTGTTTTCTGGGTTAATAGCTTAACAGTAAAGAAAGCATTCCTACCTCAATTTTTTCTACTTGTACTATGGATGAGGAATTGGGAGGGGTATTTTAATGATTACTAATCCTTCGACATCCTTAGTTAGAAAGTACTATGTATTTTCAGTTATTATGCTACTTATATGACCTTTTTCTATGTTTCTCTTGCTTTTTGTTTTTAGGGTAAGATAGCTGAACGTGGTACCCACCATGGTTTGCTTGCTAACCCTGGCAGTATCTATTCAGAAATGTGGCACACACAGAGCAGTCGTGTACAGAACCGTGATAACCCCAAATGGGATGCAAAGGAAGAAAATATGTCCAAAGAAGAGGAAAGGAAGAAACTACAAGAAGAAATTGTCAACAGTGTAAAAGGCTGTGGAAACTGTTCCTGCTAAGTTGCATGAGACTTTTTTTTGACACATTTACACTGAAGCAGAATTGTTTTATTTTTTTAAAAAAATCATACATTCCCATTTTCTATAATCCTTCTTTTAGTAAGATTTATTTGAAAAGGAATTTGAATTTTACATCTTTCACAATCTATTTAATGTGACATCTATATTTATCACCATATTATTTTCTTGTTACTGTCTTAGTTGTACCCAAAACATAGTTTTTGTTACTAGTTGACTTTACCCCATTTCCATTTTTGAGACCTAATAGCCATTTGATATCCATACCAGATGAATTATATTGGTTTCCAAATTTTAGTAGTTTTTTAAATCTCCTTTATGCTGACAAGTTAAATGGAAAGTATCCATTTCTTAAACAACAAAAGAGGGTAGTGTAAGTTCATGGCTTCTCAGCCTCCCTCCCCACTGAAATACTACAATGATAGATATCTTTATTTGTGGTTTTTAAAAGCAATTGCCACTGTGTAGTTTTGGAAGAAAAATCTCCCTTAATTCTCATGTATGTATGTATGTAGAATGTTCTTCATCATTAACCATCATCTTTAGTCGTGGGAATTTTATTTTTTCATCAAAATGAAGTATTGGTTTTGTTTTGAACCAAAATTTATATCATTCTCTTTAAACACTTAAATCCGTGATGTAATTTGAGAGTGGTCATTCTGGGAATGATCTAAAAAGCTTAGGAAGCGAATTGTCTTTTCTATTTCCATCTTAACTATAGTGCTTTTGCTGTCTAAAGTTATAGAAAGAAACAACTAAATAGAATGAATGCAAGCACATGTGTCTGTGTGCACATGCTCACACATGTAGATAAAGCAACAACCACTTAAAAATTATTAATGACCTTTAGGCAAGTAGGAGAAGACTATGTATATGTACTCTGGATGATCAGAACTTGAATCTTTGTTGACAGTTCAGAATTTCTTACAAGATTTTCCCTTCCTTTGTTCAGTAATTTAATGAGTTCCTTTAAGTGTGACATAGCAAGGAAGAACCCAAACAAAATAATCAAGTTTTACCTGCTAGAAATAATCAATAAAATGTTGGTAAAAGTTCACTTAGAAGCTCCTCTCTTTTCCAATTTGAATAGCTTCTTTTCTTTTCGAAGAAGCTATTTTCTTTTTTTTTCTTTTTTTTTCTTTTTTTAAAGAATTTTTTAAACGTTTTATTTATTTCTGAGAGAGAGACAGCGTGAGCAGGATAGGGTCAGAGAGAGAGAGGGAGACACAGAATCCAAAGCAGGCTCTAGGCTCTGAGCTAGCTGTTAGCACAGAGCCTGACGCGGGGCTCGAACCCACGAACTGGGAGATCATGACCTGAGCCAAAGTTGGACGCTTAACCGACTGAGCCACCCAGGCGCCCTGAAGCTGTTTTCTTTTCATATGATTAGAGGTGATCTCTAAACCATTGGATTATGTGGTCATTAACCAGTATTTTCAGCTAATGAAAATTTGAATTACCTGAAAGAAAAACACAGTTATTGTAAGGGCCACTAAGTAAATCTTAAATATTTTTCTCTCAATTTATCATATTAAGATAAATATTATACGGTGAAATAATAGACAAAATGAAAGAAAAGCTCCCTAGGGTGATTAACTAAGAAAATATCAAGAAAAGGGACATTTATTATAGCATAATAATTTTACATTACAATATCACTCACGTAAAAGAATATAAAGTGTGAATTTTTAAATCAGTCTTGAAACATAATATTTTTTAATGGATTGAGATGAATAAGCTACAGTTTTAGAATATGGGCTCTGAAAATGGAGCAAGATGATAGGGTTTTATTTCTTATATCCCTTTATTATAAAGAATATTATATTTTCTTCATAAGGGAATCCCAGTTCAAAACAATTAAGTTGAAACCGGAGTAATTTGGGAATCATAGAAACTGGGCCAAGTGCCTTCCCAAAAGCTTTTAACATAGAAATATCTTGGTGAGCAGATAAGCTCATTTGGAAATTTTTGAACAGTTCTTGCCTAAGGGTCAGCTGTGAAAACCAGAAAGAGGCCTTAGCATTTGGACAAACTCAAAAAGTATGCATTTACATTTCCTCTACAAGGATTTGCACCTATAATACACCTTAAGATAAATATTTTGCCTTTTCCATTTAGATGTTGACAATGATTGATTTGTACAGATGGTTAGTTTAAAAATAAGTTTTCCTTTAAGGGCAAGATATGTAAAGATTATATGATTTCTTGTTTCTGGATCACTTTGTCCGTATTGCCATCTTGCTCTCATTCTTCTGATTACTGGATGTGTCCGTGAGTAGCAACTTTTGCCAATGTATATTCATAATTTATATATACCTTGTAGCTTTATCATAGGATATTCTGTTGTGGATTAGTAGTTGAAAGCTTTTAAATATATTTGCACTGGCAGTTTTCTTAAATTATATAAAGTCCATTCTCCCCCTGCTTTGAGTATATAGATTTTGAATGTAAACTATAGTAAACAAAAATATTAAAAACAGGTTAAAAATTATTAGTAAGACAAAATTACTCAGAAATGGAGGCTCTTTACCACAGTTTTATTGTTATAACAATTTGTGCAGATAATTATTACTAAATAAACTGTTGTCTTTGTGACTAGAAATGGGTGGCCCATTGAAGCAACTCTTTTCTGCAGTGTATAGGGAGAACTGATATTTTGTCATTCACACATTTGGAATAAGTATGAATAATTAATAGACACTCTTGGGAGGTATGGCCTTAGAGCCTTATACAGAAACTTGGACTTGTCTCAGAAAGAAAGTAATTGTTTGCAGAATTCATAATATGAGCAAAATGGTAGCAAATTATAGTACTTTCACTTAGCATTAAGCTGTCATATTTTTGATGACCAGTCAGTGAAAGGCAACTTTCTGTTGCCCCAAATTTTTCAGCTCTAATGGTTAGAAAGGAAACTTTTGGGGTGAAGAAATTTCTTGACTGCAAAGCATGCATTAAAGTAGCATTTTGATTAAGTAAAGTTTGAAATTAAGTACATGGTCTAATTAAAAACAAGATGGAACAGTTTCGGTTTAGAAAGGCAGTGGATTGTTTTCATAGTTGCTGTTCTCACACAGCTACAGAAGAATTTTTTTCACTGATTACTTTCTATTCCATTTCTCCTTCATAAAATCATAGGATTTTAGAGTTGGAAGGAATGCAGATGTCTTTAATACAATTCCCTTATTCTACTAATGAGGAAACTGAATTTCAGGAGAAGTCACTGAGCTTGTTAGAGGCCAAGTTGGAATGAAAACCCTGGCTTGTGACACCTATTCCATTTCTCTCTTTGCTGGACATTTCCACTCAGAAGTTAAGTTTAAAAATATATTGAAGGGTGAGATATCATTTAAAGTCTCCAGAAAATGTCCAAAGGGCATATAGCAATTGAAAAAATACTGATTCAAGAAAACCTTTTAAGTATCAGTAGAAACAGCAAGAGTCTGTGGCCTCTGCACTTGCTCTACCATACCAGGTCTGTCTTACAGAAGCTCCACCTTGGGTGCTCTATTCTTGGCAGCCATGGTGAAGATCTTTGGAGGTAGGACTCCTCCCCCCAGCTCTCACCCTGGGGCTGTGGTTTCCCTTCAACTCTGTGTTGCAGAAATTTATTCTACACAGGCACAGCCAAAAGGACTGATCCCTTCCACTACCCAGCCTCCATTCTTTGAGTCGAAGCACTATTCTGTGTGCAGGCTGAGAATATGGAGGCCCTGAATTTTTCCACCCTAGCTTACTCAAAGTTTGAGTGTTTCACTCAAGGAGAAAAACAAAAAAACAAAAGAAAACCAAGGACTTCCACCATGCCCCAGTGCCCACTCATAAAGTAGTGGTTTTATTCTGGGCCCCTTACCCCAGCTTTGGTTCAGTGGTGCACAGGTTCTTTCTAAGTGGGAAAATATGCAGTGAAGACAAAGAATTCCACCACTCTGCTAAGTGAATTTGAAACAGAATGGAGAACTCTGTCCCTAAGGACATTATCAAGAACAGTGGAAATTTTGGTGGAGAGCAATTAGGAGGAGCTGGTGCAAGCAAAGCAGTAGAGCAGCCAGAATTTTAATAAAGAGAAACCAAGAGGAAACCAAAAGGAGCCCTCCTGGGAGCATAGTCAACTCTGGGAATTGAAAAGGCTGTGTGCATGTGCTGGGCTACACCTACTCAGGACAATTAGAGCAGAACATGGGACAGACTTAAAGTATTTCTTAATACATGCAGACCCTTCACACGGAGCAAATATTTTGCTAGCACAGGGCATGTGACCAAACACTGAACAATAAATTGCTCTGATCTAGAGGTTACAATTAGGGACACAGGTTTAAAATGAAAATACCACACATCCTTGGCAATCTAGAAGTCTATGTATATGTCTAAAACCGCTTTCCAGAACAGAGCAGGAACCTCCCAGCTACTAGTCCCTGGTTGAATGTGGGTCAAAAGAAAACCCCCTGACATCTAGCAGCCTCCAACCACATGCATGTCCAATGGTAAAAATCTTGCCAATTAGTACATTACTCCCATCCAGACACAACCGTTAGGCAACTAGACTAGAAGAAATAACATCAGGCTGCACACTGTGGAGCAAATAAACAACCAAGCAAATACCAATCCCCTAGAGGAGGAGGATCATTATCCAGGTTGCTATAAGATACTATTATAAAGTATCTATAACAAAAAATTATAAGAAATGCAAAGAAACAGGAAACTGTCACCCATACACAGGAAAGGCAGGCAATAACACCTTAAGGGGCACATATGATGGATGTTGCACACAAAGGTTTATCGATAAAGAAATCAATAAAGGAATATAAAGAAGTTTTTTTTAATATTTTATTTATTTTTGAGAGAGAGAGACAGCGTGAGCAGGGGGAGGGTCAGAGAGAGAGGGAGTTACAGAATCTGAAGCAAGTTCCAGACTCTGAGCTGTCAGCACAGAGCCCTACGCGGGGCTAGAACCCACAAACCATGAGATCATGACCTAAGCCGAAGTCGGATGCTTAACCGACTGAGCCACCCAGGCGCCCCAAGAATTTATTTTTTTGTTTGTTTGTTTGAAACAGTTTTATTTGGAAGATCTGTAGCTGGGGATTCCATTAACATGATTTCACTCAATTGAGTCCAGTTAGATCAGAATTAGAGGTGAAGCACCCCAGCCCCAGGACAAGTTCTGTAATACCATACTATTTCCTTTGGAAGCTACCTTTTCTGCATACTTCGCATAGACTGAAGTAATATGTCTGCAATATCACGTGCATGGAAACAAATGCACAGATGACTTTCCAGAGCCCTTTTTATAGGCTTCTCTCTTCTCAATATGAGTGTTTATTTTTATGATGAACTTTTATTTTTTTAATTTTTTTTTACAAATAATTTATTGTCAAGTTGGTTTCCATATAACACCCAGTGCTCATCCCCACAAGTGCCCTCTTCCATGCCCATCTCCCCCCTCCCCCCCACACCCATCAGTCCTCAGTTTGTTCTGGTTTGTCTCTCTCCCTCTCCCCCCACTATTTCCCCCCTTCTTCTCCCCCACGGTCCTCCCTTAAGTTCCTCCTAATCCTCCTATACGTGCAAACATATGGTATCTCTCCTTCTCTGCCTGACTTATTTCGCTCAGCATAACACCCTCAAGGTCCATCCATGTTGCTACACATGGCCAGATTTCATTGTTTCTCATCGCCATGTAGTATTCCATGGTATAGATAAACCACATCTTCTTGATCCATTCATCTGTTGATGGACACTTAGGCTCTTTCCATGTTTTAGCTATTGTGGAGAGACAGCACCCCTTCTTAATAAAGACCCTCGAGAAAGTCGGGATAGAAGGAACCTACTTAAACATCATAAAACCATCTATGAGAAGCCCTCAGCTAACATCATCTTCAACGGGGAAGAACTGAGAGCTTTCCCCCTGAGATCAGGAACACGACAGGGCTGTCCACTCTCACCACTGTTGTTTAACATAGTGCTGGAAGTTCTAGCATCAACAATCAGACAACAAAAGGAAATAAAAGGCATCATAATTGGCAAAGAAGAAGTCAAACTTTCACTTTTCGCAGACGA